GGTAAGCAAAAGAAAGTGTCCTTTATATCCAGGACGGCAAACCATTTCTGATTAATATTCAATTTAGTCAATCAGTCATACAAATTAACTACTATTGGACAAATATCCTCTGCAATTTTGTTGATTGCCCTGAGATCATGAACCAATCTGCAACTTTTCCCATCATATTTCATTACTTTCCAGATAGGAGTATTATATTCCGATTCACATTCAATTAATAATCTATATTTTAATATTTATCAATTTTTTTATTCCCTTTGATCTTCTAATTCTAAGGGATACTGTTTTATTCTAATTGGGTAGGCCCCCCTTTTTATTTCCACTTTAACAGGCAAAGCATTTTTTTCCTTACCTGGAATTTCAGATGCCCATACTCCCACATATACCTGATTAAGGATTTCTTCTATTTTAGGGAGGTCCTCCTTTTTGCTTTTCTGTTGAATTAAAGATAAACTCAAACTTGCAATTAATTGACTGGTTTTAATTCTGAATTCCATTTTGCCTTCCTTAAATGTTGCTTTTCACCCTAATAAAGATTTTAGAGAATTTGGCATGCATAAAAATTTATGCATTCCTATCTGTTTTGCCCAATTTGTAGTTTAAAGGTTTCAGAAAGAATGCCTCTCTCTTTTTTTTTTTTTTCTTGGTGGCCAGTAGCTCCCACATCTATAACGAATTCTTTTCTCTCTGATTTAACACCAAATAAGTTGCTGCTGTATCCACTAAAATTCCACTTTATTTCCTCTAGTCCCTAGTTTTAATGTAACCAATGGATCTGCTAGGCTAGATTTCCCCAGGTGCCCGTCAGTTTAGTTCCAATTCAGACCCCGGAGCCACCCCATGGCACTGCCCCCCCCCGCCCCCCCCCGGGCAGTCTCACTTCCGGCGTCCAAATTCCCCATAGCACACACACCGATCCGGTCCCACAGAAGAGGAGCCCACTCCCCCACCTCCTCCCGACATCCCTCCTCCCACGCTCAAACACAGGAGCTGCTCGAGCTCCCCTCCTTTCCCCCTTGGTTTTCCCTTTGTTTTTTTCCTTTTTATCACAGCGGCTAACCCTGCTCTGCAGGGCCTGCAGATGCCTGCCTCTGCAACAGCACTTCTGGTTTAACCCCTTCTTAACTCTGAATGTGAATGTGCCGCTTGTTGCCAGTGACAGAAATCTCTTCCTCCTTATCAATATCAGGTAGGACAGATGGGGAGGGTGCTGCTCTTGGAGGTACCTGTGGTACGTGATTTTCCACTCTATCTTCCTAATTACTGTTTTTTAACTTTAAACATCTTTCCCCAAATTAAGCTGAGCATCTCCAGCTTAACTTTCAGTTTTTCCCTGTCCTTTTCCAAAGCCAAAATTAAGGAATCTGGCAGAGCTATATTAATTTTGCATTCAGTCTGTCACTCCGTGTGATTTCTTAAAGTGAAAACATATCTGCATACATTACTTCATCCCATTTTCCTTGCCCCCTTAAAAGACATTAATTGTAACACCGTATTATCGTTCAGAGTTCCATTTTTAGGCCATTTTTCCTGATCTTCCAAAGTATACAAAGGCCACCATTGGTTACAATATTTTACCAATGTTTTCTTATTTACCAAGCCCCCAGGAGACCCTCCAAGTTTTTTCCAGTGTGCCAAAATGCACCCAAAAGGATTCTTTTTCAAGATCTCTTCATTCTGCTGATTTTCCATTATCAATCTCACATTCACACACACACACACACAGACGGGATCCCCAGACATACTCCACACAGTTACAACGCTTGAGACAAACAGACTTAAATTCAACCAAACAAACAACAGTTAATAACACAGTTATAACATCCTGTCACCAGTACCAAAATCACAAGACCAAAATCATTGCTGTAACAAGCCACAAAATAAGGTGAATACCAGTAGAATCAAAAGCAATGCTTCCTAACCCTTATAGCTCAGACCATATTGTAACATTAATAGGGGGGTTTCCTTGAACCCTTTATAGTTGACCAGCCTGTCAGTGTCCCAAGAAGGATGAGACCCTTGTGTCCGATCAACCTGTCTGCGTCCCACTGTTGGAACCATACTGAACAGCCCACAGTATTGGAGGGTGATTCTACTAACCTATTCAGGGACCCACGTCGACAGCATCACTGAATCAAATCCCTTATGTGCTGTTGATAGCATACTGGACCCAAAACCATTTTCACAAGACACCCCTCTGCATCTTGTAGGACCTAAATCACAAGATGCCCCCTGCTTAAACAGTCTGTCACTGATACCAAAATCACAAGACTAAAATCCTTAATGTAACAAGCCACAAAATAAATCAAATACCAACAAGATCCGAAACCATTTCCGGAAGACACCCCCTGCTTCTTGCAGGACCCAAACCCTAAGAAGCCCCCTGCTTCCTTTGGGTGTATACCAGTAAAATCCAAAATCTTTCCTTCAAGACACCCCCTGTGTCTTGCAAGATCCAAACCACAAGAAGCCCCCTGCTTCTTGCGGGTGTATACCAAACGGACACTAGCAGCTGGGTATACAGCTTTACCTACGAGATTTCTTATCTCGATTTACGGAAGGCTTCCAAACCATGCGTACACTTACCAAACCAACTTACCAAACCAATTTACCAAACCGAGGTGCCCCCTGCACCTGACAGACTATGCAAAAAAAAAAATACCTTTTATGAGCTGGTCCTTGTCTGATCCCACAGCAATCCGAATGAATCGAGGCGTCCCTCTGGGAAAAATTCCCGAGGGCCCTAGGGAGCCCTGTCCTCAGCGGGTCCTGCAGCCGAGAGAAAACTCCAGTAACAAACTTGCCAAGAAAGTTTTCAAGCTGACAAGCAGGTATTCTTTATTGCGGCGCCGGGAGACACGGGGGATAACTCCTCCTAACGTGTGTCCCCGTATTGCTATACAAGCCATCCTTATATAGTCCCTGGGCATACATACATATTCATGAGGCTACATATGGATTACATCATTTTCCAGAGAGTTCCCCGCATGCGTACAGAATTGTGGTGGTGGTCTCTGAGGGTCGTTTACTTCTTCCAACGATCTTCATCACTTCTGGCAGCCTTTGAAGCACGCGCAGTAGATGCTTCTACCAGTTTAATTGGTTCGTTAGCACCAGAGGCATAATAATCCTCCCATCCTCCTACTTATCAGTTAGTTTACCTGTAGCCCATCCTGGACACCTGCAGTTCCCAGATACTCCTTATCCCTGTGTCCTGTTTTTCTAGGCTGTTTTTTTCTTAAAGCTATGTCAACTGTAATGATTTATCTTGTGAGAATTCTCAGTATGTTCTCTAGCTGCATTCTCTCTCTATATTTTTCTCTATGTATCCTGCACCTCAGTAATTTTCCATTGCTACTGTTACAAAGCCATCAAACTTAACATTACTTAAAGCTACTTCTAAAGATTTCTATATCCCATCTTGAAATTTTTTGCCCCCCCCCCCATCTCAGTTTGTTTAAACCAGATGATACAGTGACCTGATGAAGCCATTCTGAGGCAAAAGCTTTCTTACCTTATCTCAGCAGTTGGCAGATTGAAAGTGTTGCAGAAAAATAGAAGCAAAATTTATGGGGATGTGAAAAAAATTAAAGAATTGTGGCTACTTGGTATGGAATCCAGTCTAAGTCTTCAGTATTGTCAGACAGGTGTCCTCAACATAACAAGGACATGGAGCTGTTGGAGCAAGTCCAGAGGAGGGCCACAAGAATGATCGGAGGCTGGATCACCTCCCATATGAAGATAGGCTGAGAAAGTTGGGGTTGTTCAGCCTGGAAAAGAGAAGGCTGCGTGGAGACCTCATCACAGCCTTCCAGTATCTGAAGGGGGCTACAAGGATGCTGGAGAGGGACTCTTCATCAAGGATTGCTGTGATAGGACAAGGGGTAATGAGTTCAAACTTAAACAGGGGAAGTTCAGTTTAGATATAAGGAAGAAGTTCTTTACTGTAAGGGTGGTGAGGCACTGGCACAGTGTCGTGGTTTAAACCCAGCCAGACAGCTTGTTACCCACTCCCCCCCTTCTTGCCCTCCCCAGCCCGACCAAGCACCGACCAATACCTCCTCCAACCCTGCAGTCCCCCTAGCTCTTCCGGATAACTCCCAGTTGCATCCTGGGCATGACGTGCTGTGGTATGGAATACCTCTTTGGTCAGTTTGGGTCAGGTGTCCTGTCTCTGCTTCCTCCTGGCCTCCCCTCCTCCCTGGCAGAGCATGAGGCTCACAAAGTCCTTGGCCAAACCAAAACATCATTTTTATCAGCTTTGTTCCCAGCTCGAAAGTCAAAACACAGCACTGCACCAGCTACCAAGAAGGAGAAAAATGACTGCTACTGCTAAAACCAGGACACACAGGCTGCCCGGAGAAGCTGTGGATGACCCATCCCTGTCAGTGTTCAAGGCCAGGTTGGATGGAGTCTTGGGTGGCATGGTCTAATGTGAGGTGTCTCTGCCCATGGCAGGGGGTTTGGAACTAGATGATCTTAAGGTCCTTTCCATCCCTAACCATTCTATGATTTTATAGAGAAATAGGCTTGTATAATTATAGGTATGGAATCTGTTAAAATTTCAGCTTACATAGTTCTGCCTTGTTTCTGTCATAGTAGCAATGACTGTTTTCTTTGGGGTGTTTCTGTGCTGATTGATATGCCATTGCTTGCTTACAAGAAAAAGTTACCAACTGGTATTTGTAAATGCTGATACCTTATTCTTTAGATGTTTCCTTGCTTGTCACAATAATTGAAATAATTCACTGTATTTAGCAAGCAGAAACCTGAGATTCAGGCAGTTCAGTAGGCCTTTCCCTATTCACCATGTGCCCTTTATTTCAGTTGCATTCATGTTGCATCCATATAATGATAGAAAGCAAGCTCCGTGAAACACAGCTTTTGGAGTATCTTAGACTTTGTGCTAAACTAAAATGTTAATAGTCAACTATACTGAAATAAACTGATTTTGAAGTTTACAAATGTTTTCTTTTTCCTTTTTTTTTTTTTTTTGGCAGATGAACACTAGCTGTGTCCGTGTCAAAATAAATATCGATATGATTTGTCAGACCTTAGTAAGCCCACCAGAGGGGAAAAAAGAAATAAGCAGGGACAATATCCTATGCAAGATTACATATGTAGCTAATGGTAAGTCTAAAATTTTCAGTATGACATTCATTATATATGCTAATTCTGAGGAGCTGAATACTGGCAAAAAATATAAATACTACTATATGATGTTGAACTGTGGGGTAAGCTGCTTTGTTTCCTGTTTAGATGTTTACCAATTATTTAAAAAATAAATTTTCATAGACAAATTCTGAACTGTGATTATATGGGAAGTGGCAGCTTTTTCAGAAAAGTACTTGACCTCTGAATTTAAGTATGTTTTAGAATCAGTTAAAATTTTGTTTGAAGTGCTTTAGAAATAATTTGTAGCAAAGACATTGCTATGTAGCAATTCCACAGGCAAATGCAGCAGTTATTGAAAAGTTAAGACTGACTTCTATTTTCTTTGAAATAAGAAACAACTTGAGTCTCTTTTTCCATTGTTTTGCGGACTTATTTGAAGAATATCATCTTTCATTTAGTCATTCCCCAAACACAGCACATCACATTTAATATTACCTAAATAGTGACATCATAAAACTGGACTGAATTTGAAGATGAGTGTAAAGCCCTGAAAGTAAGAGGGGCCCAGGAAAGCTGGTTAATATTCAAGGATCATCTCCTCCAAGCTCTGGAGAGATGCATCCTGACAAGAAAGAAGTCAGGCAAGAATGCATTGTTCAATGTGGATGAAGAAGGAGCTCCTGGATAAACTCCAGCACAAAAAGGAAACCTACAGAGGGCAGAAACAAGGACAGGTAGCCCGGGAAGAATATAGAGAAATTGTCTGAGCAGCCAGGTATTAGGTTAGGAAAGCTAAAGCCCTGAAAGAAATAAGTATGGCCAGGGAAGTTAAGGGCAACAAGAAAAGCTTCTATAGATCCTTTGGGGATAATTGCAAATAACAGAGGAGCTGACAAGGAGAGGTTACATGCTTGACCTCATGCTCACCAAAAGGGAGGGGCTGGTTGGGTGTCCTGGGTTTAGCAGTAGCAGTCATTTTTCCCTTTCTTGGTAGCTGGTGCAGTGCTGTGTTTTGACTTTCAGCTGGGAACAGAGCTGAAAAACAATGATATTTTGGTTTGGCCAAGGACTCTGTGGGCCTCATGCTCTGCCAGGGAGGAGGGAAGCCGGGAGGAAGCAGGGACAGGACACCTGACCCAAACAGGCCAAAGAGGTATTCCATACCAAAGCACGTCATGCCCAGGAGGTAATTGGGAGTGACCTGGAAGGGCTAGGAGGGCCTGCAGGGTTGGAGGAGGTATCGGTCGGTGCTTGGTCGGGCTGGGGGGGCGAGTTATCGGTCGCCTGGTGATGGGGTGTTGTATTCTCTTCCCTTGTTATTTCCTTTATCATTACTATTATTGGTGGTAGCAGTAGTGATTTGTGTTATACCTTAGTTACTAAACTGTTCTTATCTCAACCAGTTGGAGTTGCATTTCTTTTCGATTCTCCTCTCCGTTCCCCCAGGAGTAGGGGGAGGGCAAGAAGGGGGGGAGTGGGTAACAAGCTGTCTGGCTAGGTTTAAACCACAACAGTTCTTTTTGGCGCCCAACGTGGGGCTCGAAGGGGTTCAGATAACGACAGATCTGACCGGATTAATAGTCACTCATCACAGTGCTGATTTATTGGCTCTCAGAGTTGTTCCTCTTGATCTCACAGCTTCACAATGTTGTAACTTACTTAGACCCGGTATTTGCTGTGTTAGTGTTTATCCAGTGTGGGGCTTGGGCTAAGGTTCCTGTCTCACTGTACTTTATGGCAATGACTTGTAATATGGGTGGGCTCCAGCAGCAGGGAGGGACGGACGTGGCCATGGACTGGTACCTGGCCGTCCAGCTGCTCCTCACCGTCCTGGGCCTCGCCCTCGCCTCCGTCTGCGTGAGGCTCTGGGAAGCCGAGGGGGCGCGGCCCCGGGACCCGGCGGCTGCTGAAGCGGCCCTGGAGAGCGGCCCCGGGGACCAAGCGGGAGCGGGACCGGAGGCCGCAAGGGGACGGCTGCCGGTGGAGGGGGACGGGGCGGTCGAGGAGCGGGAGGAGGCGGCTGCCGAGAAGCGGGAGAAGGCGGCGGAGGAGCCGAGCCCCGCAGAGAAGCCGAGCCCCGCGGCCGAGCCCAGCCCCGCGACGGCCGAGAGCATTCCCCGGAAGCCGCTCGCCGAGCCCCAGGAGGACGCAGGAGACCCCGCAGCATTTCCCAGCAAGGCAGAGGAGGAAGAGCTGGGCTCAGAAAAAGAGAAGCTGGTGGTGAGAGAGCCGGCAAGCACAGCAGCTACACCAGCCCCAGTGACAAGTGCAGCAGCATCGCTTGAGAGTTCTGAAGTTTTTGGATGGCCTTTGGGTACCCTTGGGACCTGCCTGCTCATTGTGATGGGGATCAGCATGTTGGCACACACACAGAGTGTGTTTTACCCACCACCATTTTGTCTGATCTCAAAAGTTGAGCAGAGTCGGGTTTGGGTCTTGTCTGGAGTTAGACGGCAATATGGGAGGACCAAGAGGTTTCCCCCAAGGCTGGACAGCCATGAGTGGCAGGGCATGTGGGACAGTATGGACAAGCATCTAGTCCACTGGGCCCCTCCAGTGCTTTGGAAGCATTGGAGATGGAAGGACAGTGAATTATTTTGAGCCTGTTGGGCCCATGACCCTTAAGGCCAACAGAGCAGAGATGCAACATCGAGATGGACTCATGATCGAGGGTTGGACTTAGCAATGGACACTATTGCCCAGGTTATTCACAAGTGTGAACACTGCACATAGCCTCTTGTGCTCTGAAAGACTGTTGCAAGAGATGGAGCCTGGCATTATGGACCAGATGGACTCAGCAGCTTTATAGGGACTGGCCCATGCACTGATGAGAGTGCACTTAGAGTGATGGTATATTGAAAATGTGGGATTTGAGCATGACGTGAATGGTATGGAATAAGGGGTGGATAATGTCCTGGGTTTAGCAGTAGCAGTCATTTTTCCCTTTCTTGGTAGCTGGTGCAGTGCTGTGTTTTGACTTTCGGGATGGGAACAGAGCTGAAAAACAATGATGTTTTGGTTTGGCCAAGGACTTTGTGGGCCTCATGCTCTGCCAGGGAGGAGGAAGCCGGGAGGAAGCAGGGACAGGACACCTGACCCAAACAGGCCAAAGAGGTATTCCGTACCACAGCACGTCATGCCCAGGAGGTAATTGGGAGTGACCTGGAAGGGCTAGGAGGGCCTGCAGGGTTGGAGGAGGTATCGGTCGGTGCTTGGTCGGGCTGGGGGGGGCGAATTCTCGGTCGGCTGGTGATGAGGTCTTGTATTCTCTTCCCTTGTTATTTCCTTTATCATTACTATTATTGGTGGTAGCAGTAGTGATTTGTGTTATACCTTAGTTACTAAACTGTTCTTATCTCAACCAGTTGGAGTTGCATTTCTTTTTGATTCTCCTCTCTGTTCCCCCAGGAGTAGGGGGAGGGCAAGAAGGGGGGGAGTGGGTAACAAGCTGTCTGGCTAGGTTTAAACCACGACATTGGGAATGTGGTGCTCTAAGGCAACCTTGGCTGTAGCGATCATGAGATGGTCGAGTTTGACATCCTCAGGACAGTGAGAAGGGCACACAGAAAGCTCACTGCCCTGGACTTCAAGAGAGCAGACTTTGGCCTCTTCAGGAACCTGCTCATTAAGGTCCCATGAGATAAAGCCCTAAAAGGTGGGGGGGGGGGCAAGGCTGCTGCTTGATATTCAAGGATCACCTGCTCCAAGCTCAGGAGTGTTGCGTCCAAAATAGAAGGAAGTCTGGCATGAGGACGAGGAGACCTCCATGGCTGGATAAGGAGTTGCTGAGGAAACTTAGAGAGGAAAAAAGAAGCTTATAAAAGTTGGAAGCGAGGACAGGTGGCCTGGGAAGAATACAGGGACATTGTCCAGGAAGCTAGGGACCAGGTCAGGAAAGCTAAGGCCCAGTTAGAATTAAATCTGGCAAGGGATGTGAAAGATAACAGGAAGGGCTTCTATAGGTATGTACCCTGGATTTGGAGAAGGCTGAGTTTATTAATTACTTCTGAGTCTATTAAAGGAAGACATGGGAAAATGTGGGAACTCTCTGGAAGGAAAGTGGAGAACTGGTCACCTGCACATGGAGATGGCCAAGGTACTCAATGCCTTTTTTGCTTTGGTCTTCAGCAGCAAGAGCTCCAGCCACTCTGCCCATGTTGAAGAAGGCAAAGTCACGGATTGGGAGAATGAAGAACTGCCTGTTGTAGGTGAATGTAAATTTTGAGATCATCTAAGGAACCTGAACGTGCACAAATCCATGGGACCTGACGAGATGCATCTACGTGTCCTGAGGGAACTGGTGGATATTGTTGCTAAGCCATTATCTGTCTTATTTGAGAAGTTGTGGAAGTCAGGTGAAGTTCCTGCTGACTGGAAAAGGGAAATATAACCCCTATTTTTAAAAACAGGAAAAGGAAAGTGCAGGGAACTACAGGCCAGGCAGTCTCATCTCAGTGCGCTGTCAAGCTCATGGAGCACATCCTCCTGGAAACTATGCTAAAGCACGTGGAAAATAAGCAGGTGATTGGTGACAGCCAGCATGGCTTCACTAGGGGCAAATCCTGTCTGACAAATTTTGTGGCCTTCTATGATGGGACTATGGAGTTGGTGGATAATGGAAGAGGGACTGACATCTACTTGGACTTGTGCAAGGCATTTGATAGTGTCCCGCACATCATCCTTTTCTCTAAACTGGAGAGACATGGGTTTGATGGACGGACCACTCAATGGATAAGGAATTGGCTGGATGGTCACACACAAAGACTTGTGGTCAACGGCTCTATGTCCAAGTGGAGGTCAGTGATGGCTGGTGTTCCTCCAGAGTCAGTATTGGGGCTGGCGCTGTTCAACATATCAGCAACATGGACAGTTAGATTGAGTGCACCCTCAGCAAGTTTGCTGATGACACCAGGCTGTGTGGTGATGTCAACATTGTGGAGGGAAGGGATGGGATCCAGATGGACCTTGACAGGCTTGAGAGGTGGGCCAGTGCAAACCTCATAAAGTTCAACAAGGCCAAGTGCAAGGTCCTGCACCTGGGTCAAGGCAATCCCAAGCACAGCTACAGGATGGTCAGAGACTGGATTGATAGCAGCCCTGTAGAGAAAGACTTGGGGGTGTTGGTTGACAACAAGCTCACCATGAGTCTATAATGTGCGCTCGCAGCCCAGAAAGCCAGCCATATCAGGCTGTATCAGAAGGATGGTGATACTCCCTCTCTACTCAGCTGTTATGAGACCCCCCTCCAGAGTACTGCATTCAGCTCTGGGGCCCCCAACATAAGAAGGAGGCTCCCAGCATAAGGCATGGACCTATTAGAACAAGTCCAGAGTAGGGACATGAAGATGATCAGGGTGCTGGAGCCCCTCTCCTATGAAGAAAGTCTGGGAGAGTTGGACTTGTTCGACCTGAAGAAAAGAAGTCTCTGGGGAGACCTTAGAGCAGCTTTCCAATACCTAAAAAGGGGGCCTGCAGCAATGTTGGAGAAGGACTTTTTACAAGGGCATGTAGTGACAGGACAAGGGGCAATGACTTTAAACCGAAAGAGGGTAGATTTAGATTAGATGTTAGGAAGAAATTCTTTACTGTGAGAGAGGTGAGGCGCTGGCACAGGTTGCCCAGAGGTGTGGCTGCCCCATCCCTGGAAGTGTTCAAGACAAGGTTGGACAGGTCTTGGAGCAACCTGGTCTAGTGGAAGGTGTCCCTGCCTGTGGCAGGGGGGTTGGAACTAGATGATCCTTAAGATCCCTTCCAACTCAAACCATTCTATGGTTCTATTAAGAGGTGAAAGTGCTGCAATGAATGATGTAAGGACATAAATTCTGATAATTATCCTTTCCTGTTACTTCAGAATAAGTTTCAGGAATGCAAAATTTTATTTTCTAGCTTTTAGCAGATTTGTTGTATTTCAGTGTCTGGCTTCCTGTCTACTTCTAGTGAACCCAGGAGGATGGGCACCAGCATTGGTGTTACGGGCAGTGGCAAAACGAGAATATCCAAAGTTCTTAAAGCGTTTTACATCATATGTGCACGAGAAAACGTCAGGAAAGCCTATTTTATTCTAGTATTAGCAGGTATACTTTTTTCTTTTATTTTTCATTCACTGTAAATATTTAAGGCCAATCAGAACTATGCAATCTAAAACTGTCTTATGCTTAGCATGAATTCAGTGCTTAGTTTTAATTTATATATGCAATTTACTCTTTAACACATTCATATTGTCATGCTTTAACCCAAGCCAGCAACTAAAGTACCACGCAGACATTTGCTCACTCCCTCTTCTCCCTGCTGGGTGGAATGGGGAGAACTGGAATAAGATAAAACCCATGAGGTAAGATAAGAAGAGTTTAAAGATTGAAATAAAAATAATAATAATAATAGAAATAACAAGAATAAAAATTATAATAGTAGAGAACAGCAAAAAAAAGGAGAAGTAAAAATTCAGAAAATACAAGTGACACTGTCCTGGGTTCAGCAGTAGCAATCATTTTTCTCCTTCTTAGTAGCTGGTGCAGTGCTGTTTTTGACTTTCAGCCTGGGAACAACACTGATAACACCGATGTTTTTAGTTGTTGCTAAGTGATGTTTACTCTGACCAAGGACTTTCTGCATCTCATGCTCTGCCAGGGAGGAGGGGAAGCTGGGAGGAAGCAGACAGGACACCTGACCCAAACTAGCCAAAGGGGTATTCCATACCACAGCACGTCATGCCCAGTATATAAACTGGGGGCAGTTACCCAGAAGGCCTAGATCTCTGCTTGGGTTGGGCTGTTTATCAGTTGGCGGTGGTAAGCGATTGTATTCTCTTCATTTGTTATTTCCCTTATTATTATTATTGGTGGTAGCAGTAGTGGTTTTGTGTTATACCTTAGTGACTGGACTGTTCTTATCTCAACCCGTGGGAGTTACATTCTTTTGATTCTCCTCCCCATCCCTCCAGGAGTAGGGGGAGGAAGGGGGGGAGTGAGCAAGCAGCTGCGTGGTTTGGGGTTACCAGCTCAGCTTAAACCACAGCAGATACACAATACAATTGCTCACCACCTGCTGACTGACGCTCAGCCTGTCCCCAAGCATCAGTCAGTGGCTCCCGGCCAATTCCCCCCAGTTTATATACTGAGCATGATGTTCTATGGTATGGAATATCCCTTTGGCTAGTTCAGGTCAGCTGTCTTGGCTGTGCTCACTCCCAGCTTCTTGTGCACCTGGTCACCGTCAGGGATTGTTACCTGGTTCTGATACCATCATGGCTGCACTCATCCAGTTTCATCAAAGTTCATTCTTCATTAACGTGATGATCAAAAGAGAGGTGGGTTCAGGCCCCCAAGGCTGGAGCAGTGGACATGAACACCACAAGATGCCCAGTGTGGTAATGGGCATGTATCTGCCATAAAAGTGTTATATAGCCATCAACAACATACAATTTAATTTACTGGCTATTCTCACCTAAAATCATATCCCATTCAGGAACACACCATACTTCCCCATCCTCCTGCCTTACCCACCAAGGGCACCCAGGTCCTTGAGCAAAAGCAGTCCCACAACTGAGTTTACCTTTCCCCGAGGACTGTTTTCCCCAGCAGATTCTTTATGTGCACTACAGCAATTTTATCCCCTTCTACAGGATGAGTGTTTTCATTGGGCCAGAACGGAACGATTAAAAGATCCTCTAGTGTTGACTAACCACATTCCTTATGCTAAATGTGTATCCCAGTGTTTGAAAATCCCACCACCCATTGCTCTCAGTGTAGTTTTTAACAGCCCATTGTACCGTCAGATTTTCCCAGAGACTGGTGCATGATAGGACATGTGATACACAACAACTCGGTGCCATGCTCTTTGGCCTAAGTGTTTATGAGGTTATTCTGGAAATGAGTCCCATTCTCTGACTCACTTCTCTCTGGGGTGCCGTGTCACCACAAGGTTTGTTTCTCAAGACCCAGGATAGCGTTCCGGACAGTGGCGTGGGGCACAGCGTATGTTTCCAGCCATCTGGTGATTGCTTCCACCATGGTAAGCACATGGCGCTTGCCTTGGCGGATCAGTGGGAGTCTGATATAGTCAATCTGCCAGGCCTCCCCATATTTGTACTTCAGCCATCGTCCTCCATACCAGAGAGGCTTTAACCGTTTGGCTTGCTTAGTTGCAGCATGTTTCACATTCGTGAATAACGTGGGCAATAGTGTCCATTGTTAAGTACACCCCTCAATCATGACCCCACCTATATGTTGCATCTCTGCCTTGATGGCCTGGGGTGTCATGGGCCGACTGGGCCAAAAATAATTCACCCTTATGTTGCCAATCTAAGTCCATCTGAGCCACTTCAGTCTTATCAGCTTGATCCACCTGTTGGTTGTTCTGATGTTCCTCAGTGTCCCGACTCTTGGGTACATGAGCATCTACATGGTTTGCCTTCACCACCAGGTTCTGCACTGAGACAAGCGGGGGCACGAAATTACAAAATGGGATATAGAAATCTTTAGAAGTAGCCTTAAGTAGTGTTAAGTTTGATGGCTTTGTAACAGTAGCAATGGAAAATTACTGAGGTGCAGGGTACATAGAGAAAAATATATAAAGAGAGTGCAGCTAGAGAACATACTGAGAATTCTCACAAGATAAATCGTTATAGTTGACATAGCTTTAAGAAAAAAACAGCCTAGAAAAACAGGACACAGGGATAAGGGTTATCGGGAAACTGCAGGTGTCCAGGATGGGCTACAGTTGAACTAACAGATAAGTAGGAGGATGGGAGGATTATTATGTCTCTGGTGCTAACGAACCAATTAAACTGGTATGAGCATCTACTGCGCGTGCTTCAAAGGCTGCCAGAAGTGATGAAGATCGTTGGAAGAAGTAAACGACCCTCAAAGACCACCACCACAATTCTGTACGCATGCGGGGAACTCTCTGGAAAATGATGTAATCCATACGTAGCCTCATGAATATGTATGTATGCCCAGGGGCTATAAAAGGACAGCTTGTGGGGCAATTAGAGAGATACACGCTAGGTGGAGTTATCCCCCGTGTCTCCCAGCGCCGTAATAAAGAATACCTGCTTGTCAGCTTGAAAACTTTCTTGGCAAGTTTGTTCCTGGAGTTTTCTCCGAATCAGTTTGGCGACCCAGATGGGACCCTCTCTGCTCGGCTGCAGGACCCGCTGAGGAGAGGGCTCCCTAGGGCCCTCAGGAATTTTTCCCAGAGGGACCCCTCGGCTCATTCGGATCGCTGCGGGAGCAGACAAGGACCATCTCCTAAAAGGTATTCTTTTCTTTTATATAGTCTGTAAGGTGCAGGGGGCACCTCGGTTTGGATTGGTTTGGTAAATTCGTTTGGTAAGCGTACGCATGGTTTGGAAGCCTTCCGTAAATCGACATAAGAAATCTCGTAGGTAAAGGCGTATACCCGGCTGCTAGCGTCCGTTCGGTATACACCCACAAGAAGCAGGGGGCTTCTGTGGTTTGGGTCCTGCAAGACACAGGGGGTGTCTTGCAGAAAAGGTTTTGGATTTTACTGGAATATACCCAAAGGAAGCAGGGGGCTTCTTACGGTTTGGGTCCTGCAAGACACAGGGGGTGTCTTGCAGAAAAGGTTAAAAGGTGTTTGGTATTCGGTTTGGTTTGTGGCCTGTTATAGTGCTGATATTGGTCTTGTGATTTTGGGTATCGGGGAACTGTGTTATTAATTGCGGCCTGTTTGATAGAATTTTAGTCTCTGTATCTGTTTCAAGCGTTGTAACTGTGTGAGTGTGTCTGTGGGGTTGTGTGTGTGTGTGAGTGAGAGATTAATAATGGGAAATCAGCAGAGTGAGGAGATTATGAAAAAGAGTCCTTTAGGGTGCATTTTGGCACATTGGAAAGAACTGGGAGGGTCTCCTGGGGGCTCAGAAAATAAGAAAGCATTGATAAAATACTGTAACCAATGGTGGCCTTTGTATATTTTGGAAGATCAGGAAAAATGGCCTAAAAATGGAACTCTGAACTATAATACATTGTTACAATTAATGTTGTTTTTGAGGCGGCAGGGAAAATGGGATGAAGTAATATATGCAGATATGTTTTTCACGTTGCAAAATCACCCAGAATGGCAAAAAGAATGTGGAATTAATATAGCACCTTCAGATCCTTTAGTTTTAGCATTAGAAAGAGAAAGGAAGCAAGCAGGGAATAGATTGGAAAGATGTTGTTCTGGTTGTGATATTGGGGAAATTTGTTTGAAACTTAAGAAGCGAACTGAGGATAACAGGGTTGAGGATAGAATAGAGGGTTATGTTTCACCAAAAGTACCGGAGCAGAGACCACCTCGGATTGAGGAGGAATCCTCTGATTCAGATGAGGAGCAGGAACAAAGTGTAAAACAAGAACAAAGTGTAAAACAAGAACAAAGTGTAAAACCAAAACGAAGTGTAAAACAAGAACAAAGCATAAAACCAGAACAAAGTGTAGAGCAAATTTCCTCCTCTCCTGTTGCTTCCCGGGTTCGTAGTAAAGCTAAGACTGTTCTGCATGCTCCTCTGAGGGAAGCAATGGGACCGGGGGGGCGTACCAAAATAAAGGTGAATTTTTCTCTAGGGGATTTGGATAATTGGAAGCAGATTGCAAAAGAGTATCGAAATGACCCTATAGGGGTAGCAAAGAAATTTGAGATACTGGTAAAAAGCCAGGATCCTGACTGGAAAGATATAGATGTAATCCTGGATGCATTAACAGAGACAGAAAAACAACTGGTTATAAAAACTGCTTGTACTCAGGTAAATGCTCAGATTACTGCAGGGGCGATAGAGGGCAGGGTTGAAGATCATATTCCCCTCTCAGCTCCAAATTGGGACTATGATGATGATGAAGATTATGCATCTTTGAAAAGATATCAGAATTGGATTAAATATGGGCTTGAAAATGCTGTACCTAAAGCGGTAAATTGGTCGGTGCTGTTTGAAATAAGACAGGGACTGAAGGAGTCGCCGACAGAGTTTCTGGATAAGCTCAGAGGAGCTATGTGAAAATGCACCACAGTGGATCCTTCCTCAGAGGAAAGAAAATTACAGCTTGCAAATTCCTTTGTGGGGCAGTCATCGGAGGAT